CTGACTCCATGAGCAAATTAAAAACATTCCGATCCTGAAATTTTGGATTCCCAAGTTTTCATTGCTGCAATTTTTTTACATGACTTTTTATGACAATTTTTTTTTTTGTACAATAATAACCATGAAATAAAAATAATTGTTTGTATGGAAAAGTAAGGACCTACATACATTAAAATGACATTAAATTAAGTGGTGACACAAGAATTATTGCTGCACATTTAAAAGGTAAGCTTAAATATTAATGCAATTATGCAGCAATCAATTTTAAGTTCTTCTATAGTTTATTGTTGCCGATCACATATGGCATCAGTATGCCTTGCAAAAAGAAATCTCCGCCAACAGAGGATCAGATTGTGATCAAAAGAGCCAAGGCTGTATCAAGGAATAGAAAATCTTGTGCAAATGAAAACCCAGATCAATCAGCATCCAGGAGTGCTTCCAATGCTGAGAATATGCAAAGACTTAGGGATCCTCAAACTCCTGAACAAGCTGAAGGCACAATCAAAAGCTCTCCAAAGGAGCGAGCTTAATTGCCACCAAATAGGGTGGCTTTTAAGTTCTTAATAACAGCAAAATAAGTGATGGATTTGATTTTATGGATATTGCTTTAAAAAACAATATAGAAGACAATGCATTCTCTAAGTTTTAAATATAAGAGACATCATGACAAATTCAAACCTGAAGTTTAACTAGTATGGTAATCAAAGAAAACTAAAAATTAATATTAAATAGTAACAAAGTTTTGTGGAGTGAAGTTCAAATTATTCAATAAGCCAACAATTTTTTTTCCAGATATTTTGTTGAGTAAAATTCATGGACAGACACAGATAACAAGATTTCAAAGCAGGAAAAAAAGACAACAAAGAGAGAAAAAGTTTTTTGTAAGCACACTCCCATAAATAATAAGCACATTGATATATGGCCATATGTATGTATGGGAATATGCACCGATAAAATAACATTTTGCCAACATTAATCCAATATGTGTTAAAGTCAATTCGCATATATTTAATAATTAAATACTATTTTTAAATTTGGATAAAATATTGATCTGAAGCTATAAAAGGATAAATTACAAGTTTAGATACAAATTATAAAATGTCTGAATTATCAAACATTATTACTATATCATTGTTTCCTGGATGCGCTGGCCCATTTTAGGAAATTGCTGGAAATAAATGACTATAAAACATTGATTACGTCTTCTCATTGGTGTTGTTATTTTGATGCCAGTCAGATTCTCTGCAGTTAAACTAGGGTAAACAACAACCCCAACACACAGTCTAATAAAAATAAGTCAAAAAGCAGTTTCCCTTCTATACCACTATATACCTATGCTGGTTTGGTAAAAGCACTAAGTGCTAATTAGTTTATAACACCAATGCTAGTGACCAATATTTCACAGTGTCTTGAAAATGTACACATTTGTTAAACAGCAGGCAATGTAAGCTTCATAAAGATATATATATATATATATATATATATATAGTAGAAAAATATACAGAATTATATTTTAGCTCTATGTTTACACACATGGTATTGATCACTGAAATAATTGGTCAAGCAAAAGATGATATTTGTCTATTACTAATTTTTGACTAACCATTTTATCTTATAAAAAGAAAAACTAGAAAAAAATTATATACAAAATTTGAACTACTTAAGACTTTGTTTACTCAAGTAAAGTGTAAACAAACAACAATGATGTACAAAAAAACAAAACAAAAAAGAAACAACAGATTTAGAAGAATATTCTATACGACTAAATACAAATGATATTTTCCGTTTAGTTTTCATAGCCTAATTGGTAAAGGAGACAAGTTCAAATCTTGTCAGAGGCTAATATCCTTGCCAGGATGTTGTGATAGTATCTCTGGTATATATATATATATATATATATATATATATATATATAAAATATGTAAGTTTACTCTATAAGAAATACACTAAATTTATAAATACCAATAGTCACTGAATTTGTTTGTTTAAAGTATTTTAAAATAATGAATGATCTAAAAAAAAAAAAAAAAAAAAAAAAAAAAAAAAAAAAAAAAAAAAAAAAAAAAAGAAAAAAAAAAAAAAAAAAAAAAAAAAAAAAAAAAGAAAAAAAAAAGAAAGCATTTTCACATATTTATTTTATCAAACATGTGAGCATGAAAAAAAAAATTGATAAAAATAAGTTCAGCTTCTATCTGGAGAATTTGATTACTTTCTTGTCTGAATGGCAACAAAACGGAGGAAGTAACTTGCTATAAAACTGAATTTTCTTTTAAAGAATTCTTTAGGAATAATTAACAATATTTCTTTAAAAAGATAAAACAGAAAAAAAGAAAAAAGATGAACCGATACTGAATATAAGAACAAAAAAATGAATTACAATCAGTTATAATCGGCAGTTAATGAATTTAATAACCTGTCCAACATAATCCATTAATACTGTCCATAAAATCTGGTATTATAAAAATATAAATAAAAAACAAATATTAATTATAGACTATAAAAAAAGATTTATTCATTTTAAGTTTATAAAAACCCAGTATTAATTATGGGTTTCTACTTATAACCCATTAATATCCAACATTCCCAAAATGGGCATTAATTAGTTAAATATATCAGCAACTTTGCTTATCTGACATTAGGTGCTAGACTGACATTGATGATGATGATAATAATAATAATAATAATAATAATAAAAATAAAAAAGTTATTGGATTAACACAGGCAAAAAGGTTAATTCTGCATGTTGTGCTGTATAGAGAGAAAGACAAGTTGTTTATTTATGAAGAATATCTGAAGTGTGGAGAGAATAAAATGGTAAAATGAATCAAAGATGATAGTTTGGAGGTCTGATGAGGTTCTGGTGGATACTCAATATTTGAGGTCAGAGGGGAGGGGGGTTACAGTTTTTTTTTTTTTTTTTTAAATTTATTATTTTTAAAAAAATTTATTTATTTATTTTTTTTTTTTAAAAACAAACACACACAATGCAAACAGATAACCAACAAAGTATGCACTGGAAACATTAGAGATAGAGAGAAAGATTAAAAAAAAATGCTAAAGTATGTATTGAGATTTTTTTTTTTAATAAAGAGGGTGAAAATACCATACCTTATAGTTCTGCAAAAGCACAACAAAAAGAAATAAATGAATTTTTTGTTTCATATAACATTTCACTTAATGTTTTTTTTTAGCAATTTAAAAAATAATCATTAAATGAGCTGATCATTTATAGTTATAATTTTATATTCACAAAATAAAATTATTTTATTTTCTCAAAATAAAATTCTAAGTTTTCTTTAATTTTCATTAAGAAAAACTTCAAGACAAAGTTAATTGGGAAAAAAAAGTTTTTAGGTTGATTTTGAGATTCATATTTTAAAATATTCAAAAATATTTTTTTTTTAAAACTGTATTTCTACAATAATTAAAATCATACAAATGAAGTAATTTTAAATAGTTTCAAACTACCAGAAAAATAGTAGAAAATACAAATACTTAATTAGAATTTTCATAAAATGTTTAAATATTCTTGTCTCTGCTATTCTAAAAAAAATTTTCTTTAAAAAACAGCTTAACAGTGAAAAATATAGAATTTAAATTTTCTTAATATCTACAATTTTCCCAATTTCTACAACTATGACTGGTAGATAAGTATTTGTATTTTAAGAAATGTGTACATGTCTTGCATCACTAATTTCCAACTAAGACACATCATTATATAAACAACATGCCAGATCAAATTATTAATATTGCAATAACAAGAACAGAATTTGTCCTGCTCAGTTTTTAATATTTAAGTTTGGTTTTGTTTTTTTATAAAAATAGCTTTTATTAGTAATAGTAGTAAAAGCATATTTAACCAATTTAATTAGCATCTTTTTTTTTTAGATTTTACTTATGTGAAAGCCTTTCTTACCAGAAATGCATGCCAATTTAATTTAATAATAGCAAATTAAAGATGGATACTTTTAAGCAAGTAAATTAAAAAAATAAAATCAAACAGTAAAAAAAAAAAAAAAAAAAAAATAAAATAAAAGTACACTGAAAGCAGATTTATTGAACAGTTCTTTCTCCCCAACAAATAATAAAATATGGTTATTTTAGTTAACAACTTAAATACTGAAATGATATGCGAAATAGTTTTCAGTGTCTTGGAGCAATTTAAAGCATAGGACTGGATATTAATTCTTTTTATTTAGAGGCAGAGCCAGTTCTCATTAGCAGCCAAATTACAACAATAAAAAAAACAAAAAACAAAAAAACAACACTTAAATTTTCTTTTCTGTCTACATTGTCTAACTTATGATTTTATGATTCATTCTGACCATATTTGTACTATTTGAAAACTAACTTCATAAAAGACAACTATCTTGTTACATTTCAGATTTGTTTAAGAACTATTATACCAGAACTAGGCCTTAAAATGAAAAATATTCCAAGACAATTCGAAAAATATGAACAATAAATAAACAAAGAGAATGATTCATATAACTCTTCAGTCAAGAAGGAAGCTATATCCTATTTGTTGGATTTTTCTTTTTCTATGCCTTGTTAATACTTAAGAAAACAACTGATACTTATTAGAGTTAATAAAGTCATTAAAATTTTAAAATTAAAAGCAACTCAAATGTTAGAGAAAGGAACTAGGTTTGTGATTTTTGGTGGACATATTTTAAGAAAAATAAATAAAAAAAACGTTTAAGCAATTTGAATTTCATAATTCTAAGAGAAGGAGTTAAGAGAGAAATATAAACAGAAAAGAAAAATTTTTTTTAATTACATCACTTTAGCGGAAAAAAATTCAGGAACTTAAAAATTCCTTTTAATTCTGTATAAACTATGAAGCTGTTATGTTTCAGAAAAATCCAACAGATAAAAGCAAAAAGAAAATTGTTTTTAAAAATTAATTTTTCTTTTTTAAAAAAGATTTTTCTAAAAGAAACAAATAAATAAAAAGAGGAAAAGACAATTTTTTTTCTTTTTTTAGAAAGTTGATTTACCTTGATGACACGGACAAATGGTTCTCCAGACTCTTTAAGGTAGGAGCCATTCACTGCAAAATGCTTCAGCCACTGTAAATGTGGTTGTAGGTCACTTACAACCACTTTACATTTAAATATGGCCGTTTCTCCAGCGGCAACTGTTTGATTCTTTGGCCCATCAATAATAGGAGCATATGGAACTCTCTCTGAAATATAAATTACATGGTGTCAGTGGTTAGAAATTTTTATTTTTTACTTGGATATTTATAACAACTCATTATTTTAATAATGATGAAAATATAATTCATTAACAAAACCAAATAAAAATTTATGTGCAATAATTGTTTAATATGCCATATGATTTATAGAATATTAAGGGAAAAAGAAATTATGGCACATTTATCAATGTTATAACTGTTTTTTTTTTTTTAAATACTGATAGCTAAATGCAAAAAATACTCTAGTCTTTTATAAAAGCAGATACAGAAATGTCAAGCATAAACTGGTGTTTATAGACCATTTTCAGAACTAAAACAAGGCAAATTACATCTTTTACAAGTACAAAGCAAATAGGTGTTAGAAAGATGAGGAACATCCTTAGAACTACACTTTCACACCCCTGGCTATAAAAATGAATGTAATTTTTTTTTTTTTTAAAAGAGTCAAGAATAAGATAAACACAACTACTGTAGGGCATATAAAAAAAAAAAAATTACTGTGTACACTGATTAAAAAGAAAGCAGGGGTGTGCGAATGTGTAACAGCACCACATCCTCAACCTGTGTAGTGAAATTAAGCTCAATTCTAAGCCAAAAAAGAGAAAAAGAAAAAAAAGAGAAAAAGAAAAAAAAGAGAAAAAGAAAAAAATAGAGAAAAAGAAAAAAAAAGAGAAAAAGAAAAAAAGAAAAAGAAAAAAATAGAGAAAAAGAAAAAAATAGAGAAAAAGAAAAAAAAAAAAGAAAAAAGAAAAAAAAAAGAGAAAAGAAAAAAAAAGAGAAAAGAAAAAATAGAAAAAAAAAAGAGAAAAAAAAAAAAAGAGAAAAAAAAAAGAGAAAAAAAAAAGAGAAAAAAAAAAAAAAAAAAAAGAGAAAAGAAAAAAGAAAAAAAAAAAAGAAAAAAAAAGAGAAAAGAAAAAAAGAGAAAAAAAAAAAAAAGAGAAAAGAAAAAGAGAAAATAGAAAAAAGAAAAAGAAAAAAAAGAAAAAAGAAAAAAAAAAGAAAAAAAAGAAAAAAAAAAAAAGAGAAAAAAAGAAAAAAGAGAAAAAGAAAAAAGAGAAAAAAAAAAAAAAGAAAAAGAAAAAAGAGAAAAAGAAAAAAGAAAAAAAGAGAAAAAAAAAGAGAAAAAGAAAAAGAGAATAAGAAAAAAGAAAAAAGAGAAAAAGAAAAAAGACAAAAAGAAAAAAGAGATAAAGAAAAAAGAAAAAAGAGAAAAAGAAAAAGAAAAAAAGAAAAAAAAAAAAAGAAAGAGAAAAAAAGAAAAGAGAAAAAAAGAGAAAGAGAAAAAGAGAGAAAAAAAAGAAAAAAGAGAAAAAGAGAAAAAAGAGAAAAGAGAAAAAAAAGAAAAAGAGAAAAAAGAAGAAAAAAGAAAAAAGAGAAAAAAGAAGAAGAAAAAAGAGAAGAGAAAAAAGAGAAGAAAAAAAAGAAGAAAAAAGAGAAGAGAAAAAGAGAAGAGAAAAAAAGAAGAGAAAAAGAGAAGAGAAAAAAAAGAAGAGAAAAAAGAGAAAGAGAAAAAGAGAAAGAGAAAAAGAAAAAGAGAAAAAAGAAAAGAGAAAAAAGAAAAAAAGAGAAAGAAAAAACTTTTTAAAACAATGACTTTGAATAACTCCAATTCCTTTTAAAACTTTTTTCAATATCCTACAAGGTTTACTGAATTGGTAGTCTGAAGCATTTTATATATATATATATATATATATATATATATATATATAAAAAAAAAAACAAAACAAAAAAAAAACAAACTAAAACAAAAAAAACAAAAAAAAAAAAAAAAAAAAAAAAAAAAAAAAAAAAAAACAAAAACGAAAAAAAAAAAAAAAAAAACACCCAACAGCTGAGGTATATGAAAGGCTGATATTTACTAGTACTTTTACATAGCCCAACTTCCTAATATTTACTCAAATATCATCATTATAATTCCAGGTACTTTAATTAAGAGAGGAATTACCAAAGATTTTTTAATTAAGAAGAAGAATTATCAAAGAATTAGCTGGATGTTCCGAGTACCTAACTCAAGATGACAAGAGAAAAGCCCTTCACTTTTATGACTGCAAATACAATGGTATCATCACCCAGAAAATGTATTGCTATTCTTTTAATTGCAGTATTTGTCCCAGTTTTTTTTTTCCTTTCCTACTAAACTATAGCTAGATTACTTAAATGATTACTTGTAAATACACTCAAAAATTCTCCTAGCTGAAATGGAGTGGCAAAGAGATCACATGTTTTCAAATTTGATATTTTTAACACTTGCAAAAGGCTCATGTAATCAAAGAGGAATTCTACTTACGAATTACTTCTAA